GTGTTCTCGGAGAGCCGAGAAATTTGTGAAATAGTAATGTTTTGGCCTGTGGTATAGGCCCTTTAGGAAGCCAAGATGGCGCTGGCTTTCCTGATTCCCCGCCAAAACTGTGTGACGTCAGTGGCACCGGATTGGTCACCGACAGCAATGTGGCACCGAGAGCCAATGAAAACCTCCCGTGCCGAAAATGACGTCACGAAGGAAGGGGGTCCAGGCCGCGCGCCGCGCTGGCGCCAGCAGTCAGACACGACACGTCAAGGAGGTTGGACGTGCAACGATTGGTCCTGTCAGTTTGACAGTTGTTTCCCGCTCCCGTGGATTTACGCGTCACCTGAAGTCTGCCAGTACTCTGAGAGGTCTTCCCTAGTTCATGTGTTGAACCAGAGAGGGAATTGACGGTTATTGAGCAACAAGTGCTCCAGTCAGGTACTGTGCAAGAAGAAGTGAAGCCTGTGCAGTGACGTATGTGACGTCTGTGGCAGTTCACCAGTTCGTGACGGCGTAGTGGCTGACAGAGCCACTGGGTAGCTGAGGAAGAAGAGGACTATTTGGGATTCCGGACGACTGCAGCTGAGACGTAGGCGGCAGCCGTTGTTGGGAGAAGTCGACGGCCAGGAGACCGACTCCAACCCTACCAGAAGTCGAGAAGGAGAACGGACCTGCAGAGAAGAGGGCACGGAGACGACGCGCTAAACGGTGGGACGACGAGAGGTTCCGGTAGGACACGACGACGAGTGTGTGGGGGCGTTCCCGACACGAGGACCAGGAGCTACATCTCAACTCTCATCAGAGGATAGGTTGAAGTAGGTGTTTCTAGTTTCCCTCCCCATTCCCCTTTAGTTAGCTATATTATTCGGCTATATTATCTAGCCTGAGGATTTTATATGTCGTGAGCAAGTCTCACCCATGTCACAATAAAGCACCAGTGTGCAGGATATAGTACTATCAAGAGTACTTATAATACTTATGTTTATTATTGGTGTGTACAGGCACCAGGAACAAGTGATAAATTTACTGCGTATTGTATATCTTTCTACAGATTTTGATGTGAACATATAGTGATAAATTATATATAATATTATGCCAGTATTTGGAAGTTAGGCTACGTGCCCAGAAACTATTTATTTACCATGTATTGATGTCTGATTTATATACATTATATATGTCTATGTTCATGCAGTGATTAATCATTTGGGAGTACAGTGAATTATTGTGTTATCGCCCACGAGAGAAAGTACTGAAAACTCCAGTGTTAATACTTCATAATATGTCATTGAATGAAGGGCAGTGAAAACCATTACAGTGAGTCATTGTAGCATTGATTGTAGAAACGACTGTTTGAGCCCGAGTATAGTGTAACTAAGTAATACGTTCTATTGTGCCAATATCGAGTGTGCGAGTTTCTAGTAATATTGGAGAACTTAAAGAAACAGCGCGCGTGAATCTAGAAAACAAGCAATAAACTTTCGCGCGGGGCCAGGCGATCAGCTGTTCTTGACACTTGACGAGGAGGGGAGGTGTTGCCACTTAGTGAGTGCATACTATTCGTGGGAACTACCGGCCACAGCCAGGATCAGTTGATTTATTTATTATTGTTTGGCCTTGTGACATCTTTCATGCATTTTAAGTAAAATACAAAACTATCTTTGTGTTTATATCATCCCCTCCATTGATCTTGTGGCTATATTATACTGGAAAGCAAAGAGTGATAAAAGTAAGTACCTGCCTGATTCCTGATCTTTTGAGTGTGACCTTGCCAAGGCTACTACTAATTCAACCAGTCCACTGAGGTGTTACTGGCCACCTAAAACACCAGTTGGCGACCTTGTGGTTAACCGTAGAGCCCGATTGTTGGGGAGGGCACATGACAGTCAAGTGAACGAGTCGTGTTCCCACTCCTTCTCAATCAGAGGCCGGTTGAGATTGACTGGGAGACTCTCCTGGCGTGCAGTGGCGCCGTGAGGATAGAGTGAAGACCCGCAGGGCTACGGTGAGTGACCTTGAGCATAACTATTGCTCACCCCAGAGTAAGAATAGAGAGTAAGAAACCCCAACAATATATATATATATATATATATATATATATATATATAATATATATATATATATATATATATATATATATATATATATATATATATATATAAACGCTGAACTATAATGTCAATCCTGACCTTAAAAGCTTCCTAGAAGGTTGTAACAGATCCCATGAGCACCACACCAGAAACAAATACCTATTTGATATTCCAAGAGTACGACTTAGTCAAACTAGAAATGCTTTACAAATCAAGGGACCTCGAATGTGGAATGACCTTCCCAATTATGTAAAAGACTGTACCTCTCCCAACCAGTTTAAGATAAAAACTAAGTACCACCTAATTAACTCAATGTAACCTACCTCACCCCTAAATGTCAACCCATGTCTACGATTTTTAACAATGCTGTTTGTTGACTAAATTGTATTTTTGCTTTTTTTCTGCCATGTTCCCCCCCCCCTTTTTTTCATTTTTTTCTGATTTTTTCACAACACAATTTATACTTTAATCTAAGTTAGTATTAAGTTTTAGTCTTAGTGTTTTTCCTGTCCGAAACGCTTTGCGTAATAGTGGCTTTAGGCATTGTATGTACTAGCTCTATCTATGAATCCATCAACTTTTGTATTTCACCTTGTATGTATGTACTTTACCTGAATAAATATTTGTACTTGTATTCTGCAATTTTTCAAGCCCTTCAAACTTTCTTTCAGGCATCAAAGCAAGCCGAAGTGCAGCATAATCCACTAAAGATCTGATGTATGCAAGGTACATCATTTTGACAATTCTGACATTGGCACCATAGCCTGAGTGATAACCTGCAACACACTTAAGAGCTCTGAGCCTCTCTTTATACAGACGACAGAGTCTGAATACAACAGGACCATACAGTGGCACCTCAAGGCCAAGGTATTTGAAACTGTTTACATAGTCAAGCTGGGAGCCATCAGACAGTTGCATCTTGCGAACAGCTCCTCCCTGCCTGGGTGGGCGCCGATTGTGTATCTTTGTTTTCTCTGCTGAGATAACTAATCCTAGGTCCTGACATGAGTCTAATACAGAGTTAAGAGTGTTCTGCGTGTTAGCATACCCAGTGATGAGTATCATTATATCATCAGCATAGCTAATGATGTGGACGTTGGGTTTGCTCGGTATAGAGTTTAACAGCGTGTTTATTAAGATATTAAATAAGGTAGGACTGAGGACACTTCCCTGTGGGGTACCTAGTTCAAAGTCTGTTGTTACACTCCTATGCCCCTGGAAACATACAGATGACTTCCTGTTGGATAAGTAACCCCTGATCCAAGAAAGAAGCCGACCACCAATATTCATTCTTGCAAGCTCACTCAAGATAACATGTCAATTTGCAATATCAAATGCAGACTTGAGATCTAGGAAGGTGGTATATGACTTTTCAGTGTACAGGGTAAGAAAGGTTGTGATGCAATGATGCACACTCCTTCCATGCCATATATCTGAGGGGATAGCATGGTTCTTATTCTATGGAGGAGACGGTTTAGGACCATTCTCTCGAATGTTTTGCAAATGCAGCTAGTAAGGGAAATTGGGCAGAAAGCATTCTCTTGATTTGGCTTGGGAATTGGAATGATTATACTGTTAGTCCAAGAGATAGGAAGTTCCCCAGTAACATAGCTCATATTATACAGCTCAAGCAGGGGATTCCCTGGTACTAAAGGGAGCAGACGCAATATGTCATAAGTGATACCATCCTCACCGGGTGATGTGGCTTTACCTTTGTTTAGGGCCGCGAGTAATTCAAACTCCATAAATGGCACGTTGCATTCATCTTCCTTGTGGAGCATGAAGTCAACGAGCCTTTCTCGATCTCCGTAACCAGCATTTAATCTGAACTGTATGTCTGGGGGAAGATTATTGAAGCTAGAGGTGGTTGCCCAAGCATCGACTAACTCGTTTGCTCTGTGTAGAGGGTGAGGGTGTGCTACTTGGCCGATCTTATCGCCTTTAATTCTGTTAATATCCTTCCATGCCTGGCTGACGGGGGGTGTGAGAGTTAAGACTGTTAACAAAAGTAGCAATGCTCAAGCTCTTTCAGAAAGCCCTAGCCAAGGCGAGGGAGCACATGACAGAGCAGACAGAGCCATGACAGAGCCATGTGCAGCAGAGCACATGGCAAGATAACTGGGAAACTAATTAATAGCAAAGAACAATTACCCATATATTGTCACGTAGTACTATTTCAACAATTACTCACTTTTGTAATTCGATATGTAAAGATCGATTGTTAGCAGCAGCCCAGTATTTTCAAAGAAAAGTTTTGATAATTGGAAGGCTGGCAAGAATAAGTGCATGAAATAAATTGTTGAACCTAAAAGTCTTCCAGATCTTATATGTATAGTCAATATTATTTAACACGTATTACTGAAACTGTGCAACTGTAATTGAACTCAGAATATATTGGGATCACAATATGTACCAAGATGAAGAACAATATGACACTACCCTGTCCCATGGGATTTTTTTTCGTATCATAATCCCTCCCTTTCCACCCATGAAGGAAATTTAAGACCAACCCAAACTTCGTCTAAGTCTTTATATTTATGATAATCATAGCTTTAATTGATGAAACTAGTCTAATTAATTTGCTGTTCAGGAATTGGCGATGAGGGCACTACGCATTCTTAATAAGGAATTTAGTTTAAATCATGTCGATACTCTATCATATAGTTAGTTCTAGAACATAATAAAGTTGATGCTCTGGAGATCCCTAAGAAACGTCCTGTCCCCGATAAGGCCGGATATACCGGTGTATACAGCAGCCCTGATTTCCCAGAGAGCACGGGAGACATCTCCCGTCACGCAGGGTGCAGTCGCACCTCCACAGATCTCCAGTATCAGCTCTTGATACTGGTAATGACTCAAAAGGGCCACTACTTACGTGCTATTCATGCCCGTGCCACCTTTTGGGTGGCTTAATCTTCATCAATCAATCAATCCCAGATAGTGAGTCACACAGCCCCGCTCCTGTGCGAGGTAAGTCCACTACGGGCTTGTCATATCCCGTACTGCTGGGAACTTTTTGTTCCAAGTGGCTGAATCTAAAACAACATTTCCAGTGAGTGCTCGCCAGCAGAGGAAGACAGGTCGCGCCAGTACGCCCCACGGTATGAACGCACTTGGTCGTGACAGCATCAAGTAACTGGAGCAGTTTATTGTGAAACAGTTTGAATTCGTGATGACACAGGTGTGTAAGACTAGAACTCCTGATATTTGTGTGTATTAATAAACTGGATTACTATATATAGCTAAATTTCAGAATATAATTTGTTCAGACAGTATATATCATGAATTAGTCTCATAATGAAGTGAGGAGTGTCCGCCTTGCAGGAATGCGCGCGTAACTCAGCAAGTTAGGATAAGTTCCAAGTTGGGGTCTGATCAGTAACTGTTTTACTTGTATCATTCTAAATTATACTTGCCATATAAATAATGTAACATTATGTTAATTTAATTTCCTTTGTTTGTGTTAGTAAGAATGATGTGTAGGGGTTAGGATAAATGTATGAGTAATGTTGTGTTGGCGACCTAGGGCAGCGGCCCACCTGTGTGTTGAGGTGGTGTTAGTGGAAGCTTGCAACTCAGAGAGGGTGGAGGTTTCTGAGGGCTGCATTATAGATGAGTTTAGTATTAAGTTGTAAATTTTTTTTGTGACAGGGCATGTCAGGATATCTGGCAGGTATAACTTCATGTAGTGTATTTTGTGCAACCAGTCCTGCTGAAATGATAGTACCTCTTGTAACGATATGGTCGATCGTATCACTGTCATCCCCATATTCCTGTTTAGCTAGTAATTATAGTAACGAAGAGTAAACCAATTTAGCCTAGCCTTCCTAACCTAATATAGTACTATATATGTGCCATACTAGGCCTATTAATATTAAAGTTTGTTTTAAGCTTGATTTTTCGGACTATAAAGTGAATATAGTACCAAATTCTACTATATAATGGCCTTTTACATCAATGTATGTAATATTATGTACCTTGTTACAAAAAGTACTATCTTTTACTATAAAGTACTAAAAGTACTTACTATTAAAAGTACTTTGTATATATATATATATACATATATATATATATATATATATATATATATATATATATATATATATATATATATATATATATATATATATATATATATATATATATGTCGTACCTAGTAGCCAGAACTCACTTCTCAGCCTACTATTCAAGGCCCAATTTGCCTAATAAGCCAAGTTTTCATGAATTAATTGTTTTTCGACTACCTAACCTACCTAACCTAACCTAACCTAACTTTTTAGGCTACATAACCTAACCTAACCTATAAAGATAGGTTAGGTTAGGTTAGGTAGGGTTGGTTAGGTTCGGTCATATATCTACGTTAATTTTAACTCCAATAAAAAAAAATTGACCTCATACATAATGAAATGGGTAGCTTTATCATTTCATAAGAAAAAAATTAGAGAAAATATATTAATTCATGAAAACTTGGCTTATTAGGCAAATCAGGCCTTGCATAGTAGGCTGAGAAGTGCGTTCTGGCTACTAGGTACGACATATATATATATATATATATATATATATATATATATATATATATATATATATATATATATATATATATATATATATATATATATATATATATATATATATATGCGAACAAGCCTGAATGGTCCCCAGGACTATATGCGAATGAAAACTCACACCCCAGAAGTGACTCGAACCCATACTCCCAGAAGCAACGCAACTGGTAACTACAGGGCGCCTTAATCCGCTTGGGCGCCTTAGTCCTGGGGACCATTCAGGCTTGTTCGCATTTGTGTTCCTCACGTGTGCCCCAAAGAATGAGGTGATTTGGTGAAATGCTATGCCCAAGATACCATCCGAGTTGCCGTCGAGGAAGTGGCTCAAATAGCCTCGGCTATCACTTCCTTTTGACGGCCGTGATGGTCAAGCGGATTAAGGCGCCCTGTAGTTACCAGTTGCGTTGCTTCTGGGAGTATGGGTTCGAGTCACTTCTGGGGTGTGAGTTTTCATTCATATATATATATATTATTAAATATGACCGAAAAAGTAAGATTAATAATTCTAACACGAATTTTCTCAATCTTTCGTACATTTCTTTTCACTGTTGGAGGTAAATCAAAAATCAATTCTCCAAAATTCATTTTTATTTCTAGTCTGACGCGACACGAGCGCGTTTCGTAAAACTTATTACATTTTCAAAGACTTTAGTTTACAAATACACAACTGAATAGAACTTACGCATCTCCGATTTTATATGTTGAAAATATGACCGAAAAGGTAAGATTAATAATTCTAACACGAATTTTCTCAATATTTCTTATGTTTCTTTTCACTGTCGATGGTAATTGAAAAATCCATTCTCCAAAATTCATTTTTATTTCTAGTCTGACGAGGCTCTTATCCCTGCGGCCCGTGTTCCCCGCAGTAAAGTACACGGGCCGCAGGGATAAGAGCCTCGTTGGACGTAGAATCACTGTTTACCAACGTACCTGTGGATGAAACAATCGGGATGATAGCGGACAGAGTGTATCGTGATCCGGCCTGTACTCCTCTTGACATACCAGAAAACATTCTAAGGAAACTACTCCAAGCTTGTACTAAAGAGGCACCCTTCTTGAGCCCGGATGGGCACATGTATAAGCAAGTAGATGGGGTCGCCATGGGTTCTCCCCTAGGTGTCCTGTTTGCGAACTTCTACATGGGTACCATCGAACAGAAGGTTTTAGTCGACATGAACTTGAAACCGGCCATATACGGTATGTTGTATGTTGACGTACATTTTTACACAGGTACCTGATGTCAGACATCTGCAGGAGCTAAAGGAGGCATTTGAGCGGAATTCTGTGCTGCGTTTCACTTACGAGATGGAGAAGGATGGGAAGCTACCCTTTCTAGATGTAACAGTCATGGAAAGGAGCGGAGGTTTCCACACTGCAGTCTACACTAAGGAAACAAACATAGGAATGTGCCTCAATGCCAACAGTGACTGCCCAGACAGGTACAAGAGGAGGGTCGTTAACGCTTATGTCGACCGTGCTCTCAGCCACAGCTCAGGATGAAAGCAAGTCGATGAAGAACTCTGTAGGGTAAGGCAGGTCCTAGTCAACAACGGCTTCTCCAATGGTTTCGTTGAAGACATCATAAGAAGGAAGGTGAAACGCCATGCAACCTCTGAAGAGACAACTAACACAACACCTGTACTCCCCTATTAGACTATTTTACAGGAACTTCTTTTCCACAGCTCATAAAACGGAGGAAAGGGTCCTGAAAGATATTGTTTATAGGAATGTTATCCCTACAGACAAAAATCAGAAGATACAATTGACGATTTACTATAAAACCAAGAAAACTGCCAACCTATTCATGAGAAACTCTCCAGACACAAAGCAGAACGCTTTAAAAGAAACCAACGTCGTCTATGCCTTCAAATGCCCACTTGGGGACTGTAAGCCTCGAAGAACTCAGTATATAGGCAAGACAACAACATCTCTTTCCAGGCGATTATCGATGCATAAGCAACAGGGCTCCATTAAGGAACATATAATCTCTTCCCACAACCAGACCATCACCAGAGAAGTCTTAACAAACAACACAGAAATCATCGATAGATACAGCGATAGCAGGCGGCTTGACATCTGCGAGGCACTACACATCAAGAAGTTAACACCAACAATCAACAGCCAATTAATGCACAACTATATTCTACAAACTTCAAGACTCCGCACCAATATAGAAGCATCAAGAAATATGGGCCAATAGGCCCTTTGCAGTTACACACAGAGGTCACACTAACGCGATGCATCAAATGAACAAATCCACAAGGGCCGTGTGTGATGATGTAAGGGCGAAGAGGGAGAACGGCCTATTGACATAGCTCGGGTGCATGGGGGGGGGGGGGGTTGTGTAAAAGCCCGGTTTGTGCCTCGGAGAGGCTACGGGATCCAGTAAGTTCAGTAGAACTTCGGTTTCAACCCTTTTAACCCTGTCGTAGCTCAGTCGATTAAGGCAGTGTCTGGGATGCTCCCGGACGCAGGTTCGAATCCTCGTCACGGCCCTTGTGGATTTGTTCCTTTGCAGTTACTTCCATTCTTCCCTTTAATTTACCCAATTTTTACCCAATGCACCGTGTTCTGTCTTGTGTTGAAAGTTTGTTCTATCTTATGTTGAAAGTTTTGTTCACCTCATCTAAAACTTTTGTAACATATCACCTCACCCAAATGCAGGTATATAAGATGAAAGCTGTTTAAATGATAGCATAGTAGAACTCTGTTTAGTGTTTGCAGGTTATAGTTGTATGTGTGTAAACTAAAGTCTTTGAAAATGTAATAAGTTATTACGAAATGCGTTCAGGTGTCGCGTCAGACTAGAAATAAAAATGAATTTTGGAGAATTCAGACTAGAAATAAAAATGAATTTTTCATTAATTAATTGTTTTTCGACTACCTAACTACCTAACCTAACCTAACCTCACCTATAACCTAACCTATAAAGATAGGTAAGGTAGGTAGGTAGGGTTGGTTAGGTTCGGTCATATATACGTTAATTTTATCAAATAAAAAAAAATACCTCATACATAATGAAATGGGTATTGATCATTATAAGAAAATATTAGAGAAAATATATTAATTCATGAAAAACTTGGCTTATATATATAGGCTGAGAAGTGCGTTCTGGCTACTAGGTACGACATATATATATATATATATATATATATATATATATATATATATATATATATATATATATATATATATATATATATATATATTATTTTTTATATTTGTGTGTGTGTGTGTGTCACGTAAATCCCCTGCATAGCAGTGGAACTGCCTCTTCCACTCACCTTCCATGTCATCACACTGGAAGTCCACCTCTTTGTCAGCCAAGACCAGTCCTACGACGGATACTCCACCTGCCAATCCAGTTTGCCTCCACTCCACGCTACCAAGCAGTTTTTCTACTATTCTACATTTTCTACTATCCTATTCTACACAATAACACTAAACCACACCTACTTGAGGCCATATTATTCAACTCAGTTACCACTACCAAACCTGCACTAGAAATTGTATTTCAGTTATGTAAATATTAGTCATATTAACAAATATCTGTGTGAGCAGAAGGTCCACTGCGTGCTACCAGGCTGGTGCAGCGTCCCGTTGCTGCTGCTCCTCCAGCTGACTGCTGCTCAGAGTAAGTATACTTCCTCTCTGCTTCCAGTCTTACTCTGTGTTGGGGGCGGCGGGCTTCTCATGGAGAGATTTTGCTAATGTAGGCTAATAGCTCAGCCTTATATTTCATGCTCTCTCCTGATTCCTTGTATGACTAACCATCCTTTTATTTTTATTATTAACAAGCTTAGGTGTTCACAGCAATGTGCTGCTACCCTATTCTGTATGAAAGATTACAGTGTCGATAAAAAACTAGCTATAAATTCATCTAATACATGCAATAGAAATACATGGAATCATCATCTTACAGGATGGTTAATCATACATGGAATCAGGGAAGAACATGAAATGTAAGGCTGATGATATATTAGCCTCCATTAGCAAAATCTTGGTACAGCACAAGAATATCTTCCAATATTCCTGAGTGTATGAAATAATTACAGAGCTCAAAGTACCTCATACCATTTAGTCTGAAATCACTGATAACAGGGCAATCACAGATATAGTGTTTATTATTTTATTTTATTTATATACAAAAAGATACATTGGGTTTGTGAGGATACATAGCATGGTGTTTACATTCTTGTAAAGCCACTAGTACGCGCAGCGTTTCGGGCAGGTCCTTAATCTAACAGATAATTTTAAGTAGGTAAATTCTAGCAGAATGTATAAAATGATAACAGGTGCATTGCAAGAAAAAAATGAGATGAGAGAGATTAGAAGGTATATTAAAGCACATCGGTACTCTGATTGATGGCATTGACAGCTTGAGTGAGTTCCATAGACTAGGTCCCTTTATTTGCATAGTGTTTTACAGAAATTAAGTTTGACTCTGGGGATATCATAGAGATATTTATTTCTGGTGTGGTGATAATGGGTCCTATTACATCTGTCCAGGGAGAGTTTCAGAGCAGGGGTTTGCATTAAGAACAGGGCTTTGTAAATGTAGTTGACACAAGAGAATGTGTGGAATGAGTTTATGTTTAGCATGTTTAGGGATTTAAACAAGGGGGCTGAGTGTTGTCTGAAAGCAGAGTTTGTTATTATTCTGATAGCAGATTTTTGCTGGGTGATGATGGACTTGAGGTGGTTTGCAGTGGCTGAACCCCATGCACAGATACCATAATTAAGATCGGGATAGATTAGTGCATAATATGTTGGAGAGTATGTCCTGGCTCTTGCTCACATACTTTACAATTGGATTGTTCACCATTTGGGGATTCAGTCAACATACCTGCAGCCACCTGCCATAGATATCGACATCCCAGCCTAATTCTGGCAATTACAACGTCACACTGTCTTGCGGATGTTTTATGCTGCCCGTACATATAATTCTCGGTTCTAAACATGTCATAGCTCTTTATACTCGTGCTTTCTGGCCTTTGAGTGTCTTCTGTCTTCTGTTCTTCTGTCTTCCCTAATTTCCTGAAATATTGCGGTTTTTACAACAGAGATTGGAATGCCCATATCCAACTCAATTTCAGGTTAACCATCCTGTGAGATGGAGAATATTAGATGAACTTAAAGCTAGTTTTTTATCTACACTATGTAATCATTCATACAGAATATGGTAGCAGCACATTGCTGTGTATACCTAAGCTTGTTAATAATATATATATATATATATATATATATATATATATATATATATATATATATATATATATATATATATATATATATATATATATATATATATATATATATATATATGTCGTACCTAGTACCCAGAACGCACTTCTCAGCTACTATGCAAGGCCCGATTTGCCTAATAAGCCAAGTTTTCCTGTATTAATATTTTCTCTAATTTTTTTCTTATGAAATGATAAAGCTACCCATTTAATTGTGTATGAGGTCAATTTTTTTTTATTGGAGTTAAAATTAACGTAGATATATGACCAACCCTACCTAACCTAACCTAACCTACCTTTATAGGTTAGGTTAGGTTAGGTAGCAGAAAAGTTAGGTTAGGTTAGGTAGGTTAGGTTAGGTAGGTTAGGTAGTCGAAAATCAATAATTCAACAAAAACTTGGCTTATTAGGCAAATCGGGCCTATAGTAGGCTGAAAAGTGCATTCTGGCTACTGGTACGGTCATATATATATATATTATATATATATATATATATATATATATACTAGGAGTTAAAATAACGTAGATATATGACCAACCCTACCTAACCTAACCTAACCTACCTTTATAGGTTAGGTTAGGTTAGGTAGCAGAAAAAGTTAGGTTAGGTTATATATATATATATATATATATATTAATATATATATACGTTAATATATTTATAATATATATAATATATATGTTATAAATAATTATATAATTAATATAATAACATATATACATGTTAATATTCGCCGCTCTGACAAAAAACAAAGCATCACTGCACGGAAATATTATTTATAATTTATGTAATACAAAGTTTAATTGCGTAACTCGTTATTATAAACGTCTATCCCAAGCTCCCAGTTTTTAAGAAATGCCAATATTTCATCCTCTTTACTACGTCTAACCCATCAGGAGCTACCTGCCCTGACCAGTGCATCCCACTGGCTCAATGTCCTGAGCTGCTGCAGCTGCTGAAGAAGCCTACTCCTGAGAATCTCAGCGCTCTGCAGCGGCTCACTTGCTCCTATGAGAGAGAACCCAAGGTACATATCTCGTTTTAATGTTACAAATGCTGTGTTATTATTAATTCACAGCTTTGCTGTTTTTGTGCAACAGTACAGAAATTATTCATTCTGACAGATCTGTTGCCCCAGAAATGTTGCGCCACAACCAACGTTCTTGTTGCCAAGTAAGTGTGGTCTTGGGTCGGACCTTAGCAGAGTTTATGGAGGAACCGTGGCGCCCATTGATAGTCATCCTTGGATGGCTGTTTTAGAATACTCAGGTGAGAATGGTAATAATTATACATTTATCTACCTATTTTGCCAGTTCTGGAAAGGAGGTTTTGGTGGTATAAGTACTGAAAAGTATTGGTAGTCATAAGAATAAATCCACAAGGGCCGTGATTAGGGGTTCGAACTTACGTCCAGGATGATCCCAGACGCGCCTTAATCGACTGAGCCACGACATGGTAAAGGAATTGCAACCGGGATTGCTACTGCTCCCCACACGGATCCCGCCGTCTCTCCGAGAGACAAACCGGGGTTTTACACAATCCTCCCATGCACACGGGCTCTGTCAACAAGTTATTCTACCTCTTGCCCTTACTTCAATACATACAAAAATCCCATAGCGTCATATATCAATAGCTCTCCCAATAGCAATAGATATAGCTCTCACAATAGCAATAGATATAGCTCTCACAATAGCAATAGATACAGCTCTCACAATAGCAATAGATACAGCTCTCACAATAGCAATAGATACAGCTCTCACAATAGCAATAGATACAGCTCTCACAATAGCAATAGATACAGCTCTCACAATAGCAATAGATATAGCTCTCACACGGTTTCCGTGTGAGAGCAGTAGCAATCACGGTTGCAATTCTTTTACCATGTCGTGGCTCAGTCGATTAAGGCGCGTCTGGGATCATCCTGGACGTAAGTTCGAACCCTCATCACGGCCCTTGTGGATTTATTCATTTGATATATCACGCTATTGTGATTTCTGTGTGTATTGAAGTAAGGTCGAAGAGGTAGAACATCTCTACCTATGGTAGGGAGAGAATTAATTGAGGGAAGAATGTAATTAAATGAAGAAGATGAATGAAGAATTAAAAGAGGGAGAATGTATTCTCACAAACCCAATGTACCTTCTTGTATATAAATAAATAAATAAATAAATAAATAAATTGGTGATGAGGCGATTACGAGTAGCTGGGAAGAAAACATCTCCAAAGCCTAATGGCAGTCCTGGATTAACCATTAAACACGGTAAGCCCGTGCTGTAGGGCCAAGTAAAGAGCGGCCCATAAGGTTTTTTCTGTTTCAGATTTACAATGGACGGTGGTACAGTGTTGCAGATGAACCAGGACACGTACAATGGCGGACTCGTAATAAATAAACAAATATTAATATAATCATAATATGCTATATATCTTCAAAGCAAGAAAGTAATGAATTAATAGGCGTTTTTTTCATATAAATAATTATATTTATCCATTAGAATATATATACAGTTTATTATTCTTTTTAATTTAAATTACATATTATAATAATAATAATAATATTTACATGAAGGTACAATGGGATTGTGAGATTTCAACTTCTGTTTCAACTCCTTTTGACCATGTCGTAGCTCAATCGATTAAGGCAGCATATGATTGGTATTTTTACATTCTTGCAAAGCCACTAATTAGCGTTTCGGACAGGTCCTTAATCTAAAGAGACCAGGTAAGATGAAAAGATACTGTGTTTCAAAATTGTATACCAACATATAACAATATAAACTGACAGAGGTGATTACACTGGTGAAGATATGTATCTTACGTACTAATATTGGGGACGTAGGGAGCACAAGATATAGTGTGAGTTTGAAAGGAGGAAACTACGAGGATGAAATTAGGTACTTTTTGGTTTTACTTTTGAATAAGGCATAGGTTGAATTTTTTTTAATTCATTAGGGGGTGAGTTCCATAGACTGGGTCCTTTTATTTGCACGGAATGTTTGCATAGATTTACGTTATATGGGCAAATCTTTTCAGTGCTTAGAACCTGTGATTTCTTAATCCGGCCCTAGCTACTGGGTGGCGGTGATAGGAAGCTGTGTGAATATTACACACAGAAATCACAATTGCGTGATGCAATTGGACGCAGGTTCGAATCTTCGTCACGGCCCTTGTGGATTTGTTCATTCAATTGTGATTTCTGTGTGTAATGAAGTAAGGGCGAAGAGGAGAACGGCCTATTGACATAGCTCGGGTGCAGGGGGGAGTTGTGTAAAACCCTAGTTTGTGCCTCGGAGAGGCTGCAGGATCCAGTAAGTTCAGTAAAACTTCGGTTTCAACTCTTTTGACCATGTCGTAGCTCAGTCGATTAAGGCAGCGTCTGGGATGCTCTCGGACACAGGTTCGAATCCTCGTCACGGCCCTTGTGGATTTGTTCATTCGGTGTGAATATGATTGGATTTTATGGGCAGAGTGTAAATTTGTATGAGAGTTTATATATCTACTGAAGAGGCGAGTACACGAGAATAAATGTTATACAAAATTATTTATATAGCCTAGATGAAAAATAACAATACTGTATAAACCAGATAACCAGATTTTTAGTTTGTCTCAAAATGTTGATGCAGTGTTCCTGTAAAAATGGTTCAGTCCGGTCTACATGTTTAGTATAAGTTTGTACTTTAAAAGCTGTAAACGTTTCAGAGGCTGGAGTCCCAGAGTTAAAGGTCCACTGTGGCGGGTCAATAATTAATGAGAGATACATACTGACGGCTGCGCACTGTGTACATCCTTCTGCATTAAATAAAAGGAAACTGTAAGTACAGTATGGAAAACAATTGTCTGAAAGTTGGCCATTAAAGAATTTTTAATATTTACAAGTAAACGTTGTTTAAAGGCTTAAGATACTAATTCAATGAGGCATTCAAAGTAATATAATATTTTGTTATATAATTTGAACTGTGTATGTTGAAAAACTAAATTTTGCGCTTACTGAGGAACGCTTACATGACACATGAGCTTACATGAGTTAATTTATTTTATCTATTAAACGAATTTATATAACTATATTTTATTCGTTAATAAGTCACATGCAATGACGTATCTGAACAAATTAATAGTCACGTCTAAACCTATACATTATAAAAGTGAAACAACTAAAACGTTTCTGTCTACTTCGATCCATTATATAAACCCGATAATATTTTTTTATTAATACATTAGTTACATCTGCATTTGTGTAGCTATTGTAGCTGTAGGCTATATGAAGGGGAGTACATTGTTAAAAAGCTAGCTACGTGATGCTAAAAAAATCCCCATCACACAGGATGGTTAGTCATGCAGAAGCATGTGATCAGTAGTCTGCACTGGCAGACTCTGGGTGCATTATGAGGATATCATCAACACAAGAGTGAATAAGGCAGCAGTGATACTAAAAGTCCCCATCTCGCAGGATGGTTAGTCATACAGGGACATATGTTCAGTACCTGCACTGGCAAATTTTAGGTGCAATATGAGGATATCTTCAAGAACACAAGAGTTAATAAAGTAATTACAAAGCTCCAGGTACCTCATGCCGACTGGTCTGAAAGGTCTAATAACTGGGCATTCAGTAATAATAATAATAATAATAATTTTTATTTAGGTAAAGGTACATACATAAAGAGATTTTACAAAGTTTGTTGGCTTTATAGTAGGAGCTAGTACATACAATGCCTAAAGCCACTATTACGCAAAGCGTTTCGGGCAGGAAAAAACACTAATGACTAAAGCTTAAAACTAATGGGTAAAAAGAATAAAATGTGTTGAGTACAAATAAAAATAGAGGTAAAAGAGGGGGGAACATTGTTGAAAAAACAGCACAAATACAATTACAAATTATTACAGAAAATTACATTCAAACAGCGTTGAATTGAAAAAAAAAAAAAAAAAACATACATGGGTTGACAACAGAGGGGTAAGGTGGGTTACAGGGAATTTATTAGGTATAGCTTCGTTTTTAACTTAAACTGGTTGAGAGAGGTACAGTCTTTAACATGGTTGGGAAGGTCATTCCACATTCTGGGCCCCTTGATTTGCAGAGCATTTCTGGTTTGATTAAGTCGTACTCTAGGAATATCAAAACTATTTATTTCTGGTGTGGTGCTCATGGGTTCTGTTACAACCTTCTATGAAGCTTTTGAGATCAGGATTGGCATTATAGTTTAGCGTTTTATATATGTATAATACACATGAGAGAATGTGCAGTGACTTAATGTCTAACATATTCAGAGATTTGAGTAGGGGTACCGAGTGATGTCTGGGGCCAGAATTGGATATTGTCCTTATAGCAGCTTTGTGTTGAGTAATTAGAGGACGTAAGTGATTTTGGGTAGTAGAGCCCCAAGCACAAATACCATAGTTGAGATATGGATAGATAAGGGAGTAATAGAGAGTCACCAGGGCAGGGCGTGGTACATAATATCTGATCTTAGAAAGAATGCCCACAGTTTTTGAAACTTTTTTTGATATGTTTAGAATGTGTCCCTGGAAATTCAGCTTGTGATGTAGTGTGGAGATCGTGACGCAGTTCCTGCTCACAGAGTTTGCACCTGGAGTGCAAACTCTGTGGTGCTTAGTTTGAACCACTGTGGTTTATAAGTGGTGCTTAGGCACCACTTATAAAAAAGAACTAATTCCATGAACAATGTTCAAAACTAATGTCTGTATATATATTCACCCTAAATCCATCAAAGTGTGAAATCATCTTATCTAGCCAACGAGTCATAGATGCAGTACGGACCGTGTTGCCAGGAGCCCCAGTGATCGCTTTCACCAACAGTGTGCTGCTGGGAGGGGGCAATTCTGGGCTCGAGCGCCATTGAGGTTGAAAGTTGAACGACCTGAGGAGGATTTAGGGAAGAATTGGGGCTTAGGATGCCCACGATGCTTTGTACCTCCTCACAAAGTGCCTGACTTTGCCCAGGCTTACATCTTTCCTAAGGTGTTCTCCCTCCTTCGACAATTCAAGATTAACAGAATATCACGCACTCCTAAAATCAATAACCATGAAAGTGTTAAACCTCTCCCTGCATGCAAGATGACTAATGGGACCAGGCAATGCCTTCAGTTAGACTTGGGGGTATAGGTATTCGCAAGGCGACTCAGCATTGTCGGCATTCCTAACCTCGATCAGTGCTACAGGTGAATTAAGAATGAAATGCTACCAGAATATCTAAGAGTCTCCATTGGGATTCATGATCCCAAATTCGCGGATGGAGCTGGTCAGTGGGACAATCTTGCCAACGCTCACCCTCAACCAACTTTTCCATACGACTGCAAACAAGCCAAATGGGATAGTCCCATAGTGGAGAACCAACAGTGTATCACAGCATTGTTGGAGACAGCTTATGGGAAGTTGTTATAGATTCAGCTACTCGGAACATGTTCCAAGTAGCACGGGCTATGGTGAGCCCGTAACTTACCTGGCACAGGAGCGGGGCAAGTAGCACGTGCTATGGTGAGCCCGTAGTGGACTTACCTGGCACAGGAGCGGTGCTGTGCTCTTTATTTTAGTTTATTTTATTTATTTATATACAAGAAGGTACATTGGGTTTGTGAGAATACATAGCATAGTACAGTATTTACACTCTTGTAAAGCCACTAGTACGCGCAGCGTTTCGGGCAGGTCCTTAATCTAACAGATAATTTTAAGTAGGTAAATTCTATCAGAATTAATAAAATGATAACAAATGGGAAGGGAAGGACAAAGCGTGTCTCTTAGTTGTGCAAGCGCCCCATGCCGGGGACTTCCTGTTGGCTGTCCCTAATTCCGCCTTGGGCACCCGCCTGGACCATCGGGACCTAAGTACTGATGTTGCCCTGTGCATAATTGCCGCCCCTTTCTCCACCGAACACCGGTGTACCTGCGGCTATGCGTCGGCAGACCAATATACGGCAGCCATGGTCTCGATCATCTGTCGTAGATCACAGGGAAAGATTGTCAGACATGAAGCAGTCAATGACATCATCAAGAGAATGATGATTATACTTTATTATCTATAAAATATAATTCATTGACGAATTTTGTTCGAACCACAACGCTGTAAATGCTTCACCCACGTACTACAAATACAAATAATCGCAAACAGAATCTAAACACCTAACCTATGCCTATATATGCACAATATGCTAATATTTTATAATATTAATTTATATTTAAAAAAATTTCTATTTTGAATGAACATGTTAAAATTGATGAATGCGTCTGTGGGGTCGACCGCTGGATGTAATGGTCGTGAGTCAAGGATGGGGTGGTTTATAGAATTGTGGTTCGAACAGAAGACGTGAGCGAAGCACTTGTTCCAGAAGTGTTCGGGCATCATCAGTATTGTGAGTCGTGTGTAAACCGCTTTTCATTCATTAACAGGGGGTTTGGCGGCTGGATTAACGAGCTTGGATCTTTGTATGCGAGGACGGGCTTCACAAGGTTATTAACCCATGGAATCCCCTACCCGCCGAAGCCGTTAATGCTAAAATTCTGTTGGGTTTTAAAATTCAGCTGGAAAAGATCATCAAAACAAATAGGGGGGGGGGGCACCTTCGACAAGCCGCCAGCTCGCGGTCCTCGTCGAGGCCACTAGTGTTAATTGCTCTCAGGTAAACTCAGGTAATTATATCTACCAACATCGATGTGACGTTGGAGGCTCTAATATGCTGACCAATGCAACAAAAATGGGTCAAGACTAGAGATTTTTTTGCAGGGATATTCCTGCACGGGCCCTAAACCTCTGGCTGGCCCACTAAGTGTTGCTTGTTTCTGTTTTACTTGGGCGGAGTATGAGTATTTATGACTCGTATGGTCGCTTCAGTAAGATTTTGTCCCATGTGTTTAACAACTTCTTCTGCTCTGTTGAATCTAAGTTGAAATCTTAATGGGTTTGTAACAGTGCACTGTTAGATAATGTTCAGTGGTCTGTTGGGCATTTCTCCACAGTGCTGACATTTCCGCTCATCTTCCGGAAGCTGGACGCCTATTTCCCATGCACATGGGTATCCAAGCCCTGATCTGATGTAAGTGTACTTCTGTTGTTCTACTGCTCCCTTTCATCAAACTAAATGGTTCGTAGTTGTTTGAATTCTTGTACCAACCTGCAAATCCTGATATTACAACTGCTGTGTTGTGGTCACTGTACATCTTTTACATTGCTCTGTTTCTAATTTCTTTCTTAATCTGTGATAGACTCTGTGGTATGTAAATATCTACATTTCTTCTCTTAGTTGCAAGTTTTGCAGCTTCGTCTTCAATGTCATTTCCTATTATTCCCACATGACTTGGCATCCAGTTGATAAGTACCCGATGGCCTTGACGTTTGAGTGTTTGCATTAATTATATGACATTTGTGATCAGATGGATGTTATCACATATGTGTTTTTGTTGCAAGGTTTCAAAGGCGGTTCCCGAATCTGTATGATAACATGTCGCAAGACTCAGAGATGAATATTCTCGCACCATTCGCCACATTGTCCAAAATTCTGATAAATGAGGTAGGCTGTCTTGCACGATGCATTCCCAAGATGGGAGCAAAATTGAGCCTCATATAAAGTTTTGCATCTCTCAACTCTTTAAGACATAACTGTAACATGCTCGTGTCCGAAGCTAGACACAAATACAACAAAATTATTAAGGATGGTAATAGAGTCCATTTTATGTGGTCTCCATCTCATGTTGGCCTCCGAATGCATGATAGAGCTGATAAGTTAGCCAAAGAATCTGCCTTTAAAGGAGACGTTGAGTGTAACCTTAGATTGTCAATGAGCAATCTGAGAGCAGCAGTA